ACACAGATCATCCTGAAGTTTGGACAACAGAAATGTTACACAACTGTGGCTTTTCCATGTCAGGAACACACATCAATTCCTTTATATTGCTTTACTTTGAATGCTAAGTTTTGTGAATTAGGTTTGGGCCTTCATCCAAGAGACTCCAGGTCAAATCTGTCTTTGCTATGGCTTGATTTACTTCATTTTGCATGCACTAGAGAAAGTTTAAACCCCAGGTGGCGAAGTACTAAAGTATGAAACGCTGAAACAGAATCTGGTATGAGGAAAATAAATGGATGTTCTGCTGCCCTTTGCTCAGTGGGACTTTCTAGTGAAGGTAAGAAGCCATAGTTTAGCTCAATCTGCATGATAAATCACGTGTGTTTGATGAACATGCTACTTTTAATTGTATGTCTTACAGTGTTAGTAAGTTATCTTACACGGACAGGTAGTGGCTGCCAAGTGGAGTTGGTTTCTTGGAAGGAGAACAAAAGACGAATAAGAAGAAATGAAAACAAAGTTTACCTGCTTTCTAATTTTTTTCAGTAACAGTAACGTGCTGGATGTTTTCCAAACATACAGAAAGCACAGTTGTGTCCACATGAGTTCAGAACACCCAGACAATGAGCTGGGGAGAGAAGTAAAATAATACTAAAGGTACAACGTGACAGCCAGAAGTCTGAGATAGGGTATTTTAGACACATTAGTGTTTGTCACATTAGTGAGCAGGAAAAAGAAGTCCAGTGAATGAGCAATAGTGATTCTCTGATGTAGTAAATAGAAGGGAGAGAAAGGAAATGAAAGGGAAAAAGAAAGGAGAGGAAAGGGAGAGGGAGAGGGAGAGGGAGAGGGAGAGGGAGAGGAGAGAGGAGAGGAGAGGAGAGGGAGAGGGGAGAGGGAGAGGGGAGAAGGGAGAGGGAGAGGGAGAGGGAGAGGAGAGGAGAGGAGAGGAGAGGAGAATTTTAGGTATATTATATGTATGTATATACCTATTTTCTTGCATTTACAGATTACTTACATAGTCTGTGTTCAGGTGATACAACAGATAGGGAGCTTTGAAGTAATACAGACTTGTAGAAAGACTGTCTGATAGAGGTAAATGGGAAAAGGTGGAAAGGCATAAGGCATAAGACCTTATTCTCCAGGCCTCATCTGGTGTCTCATTTGCTGCTTCTAACACCACCGAAAGACCTCTGAGCACCATTATGCTGTTATTAATAATGGCTGTGTCATGATTTCTGCTCAGCAGTAACAGCCTTAGGCAGTGCCTGCTCAGTGATCTGTGTGCAGTCACTCTCCACCTCCCGGGATGCCAACAACAGGACGTTCTCAGCTCCTCTTGTAGCACTTCTTGTTTCATTTGTTCCCTTGTCCACACCTCTGATCACTCGCACCAAGGTCTTCTCTTATCCTGATATTGAAGTTCTTGAATTTATTTCCATGCTGTTGCCTTTCCCCCCGGGCTCTTTCTTCAGCAGGACCAGTGTATGTTGTGGGCAGACATCAAACTTCATAAAGAGAGATCAGAACTGCACCACAACCTGATGTCTTTGTAGCAGGAAAGACATGGTTGTGGTTAGACAAAAATGTGCAGTGGCAGGTCTTGGGCAGGGATGAGGTAAATGGACCCCCTGTGTGCCCAACAAAACCTGTGGCTTGCCCTGCAACCCAGAGGACTCATTTCTAGTGAAAAATTAATAGTTTTCCGAAATAAAATTCCTTTCTGTAATATAATATGTGATGTTATGAATAAAACAAGAAAGACAAAAACTTTGTCAAAATAAGCTGTAGAAATTTTCAGGAACTTTTCCTAATTGCTGCAGTGATTTAATTTATTGAAGAGGAATGTGGGTTTTTGAGCGATCAAAGCCAACTTTCAACAATACCAAATAGGATGGAAAGGTGGATATCAGTCAGTAATTAGTAGCAACATTTTCTGTGTGTGACAGTTTCCTGAGGAAAATCCAGAGTGTTTTTCCTCAGTGTTTGATTGTTAGGTGGTGCACCGATGAGCAGAGGAATGAATGAAGCACTTCTCATTGCTTTTTTGTCAGTTAGGAACAGCAGTTGCAGAAGAGAATACTCATTTCTTTTACCATATTTATCACCTTAGTATCCAAGTACCCTCCAGTAGTACATTAAGCATGACTAACATCTGTTCTGTGTTTGTTTTCTCACCTCCTCTCCAAAGGGAATGTATATAAAGTGAACTGTTCTGGTTTGTTTTGATATATATGTTACACTGCTAAATGTTTATGTCAGAAGACTAAGTCAAAAAAATCCTTTCTGAACTTAGAGCACTGGCTCTGTATAAAGCTATCTCTGAGTCATGGGGTTGTTTTCTTGTTCATGCACTCAGAATGGCCAGAGGCAGTTATGCCGGGTATTCAGTTGGACTTTTTACAGGGGAAATAGTGGTGAAGAGAAAAATGTTTTTATTATTTCAAAAATGAAGTATGATAACTTGATCAAAACCACATTTTACACCACTGACATCATGTCTTTCCATCTTCAATGATATAGGTCATCAGTGACCCCAATGATCTATTAAAATGATGTACCTAAGAAAGATATTTGAAAGCCAAATGTATCGGTGGCAATGTGCAACCAATCTGTCAGTGCAGTGGTGATGTAACTTGGCATTATCCCCTATCAATGAGCTCCAGAAACATATCTGGTACTTGAGTCTTTGGGGAAAGATCAATATGGTCAACCCACATATCAGCTAGGAACATTTAGATGAAGCAATAAAGAGAGTAATAGAAAGATATTTTGCACATATGATGAAAAAGGTGGTGCCATTGATCCCTTGGAGAGTATAAAAATGGTCATTGTAGAAATGAGATGCTGAATCAGCCCAAAAGAACTATCACTTACATTAATATTGAATTGTATGAGGATGGGAGTTTTGAATAGCAGTAAAAGGACAGGACAGTTGCATGTTTGTCCTTAAGTAGTAGACTTTGCTGCAAAATGATCAGTTAGGGAGTAGGATTGTTAGACTTGTCTGACAATTGTATTTATGTGTTCAATATTTGTGACAGTTTTTCATCAGAGACTGGGTGTAGAGAGTGTGAGTATGGCTACATTTGTGCAGTTATCCTTCCTGAATTTATCTAGTAATGAGTACCTCTCAAATCAGCCATCCTGTTGGCTGTGGTCCCTCACTGTCCTGTTTCCATAGTTAACACTTTATAAAAAGGTTTTCAGTGTTGCTTGTTCTCAGTATGTATCTATGTATCTTTGTTGTGTTAGATTCTAGCTGACTACCCACCTTAAATCATATAATTAATAATGTTTTATACTGTTGGTAGTCTGTAATTCTAGAAAACAACCTTTTCAGTGTGATGAAGGGAAACTTATTGAACAGGAACACCTCTGTATCCACTCTTTAGGTTAGCAAAGCAATAAATGCTAACCAGCACAGCCACATGTCAGCCTGGGCAGAAACATCCTTCCAGCCTCTACATATTTGGACAGAACTGTCAGTTCTTACTATGGAGTATGGATTGGCAGCATCTCAGCTGTAAAGCACACATTGGGAATCAACATTTGGGGAAGTGTGTGTCTTCTGTGCACAACAGTAAAAATTTTGCAACCCTAACATTTACGCTTAATAAAAGATAATCTCTTCCAACACTGCATAGTAGGAGGAATGCAAATCCTCTCTGGTGTCATACAGCTACAAGCAGAAGAGTTTCCCCACGACTCAGAGAGAAGCCTGCCATATCAATGTCTGCCTAGCAACTGAAAGGTGACACGTGGAGCCTCCTTTTCAACTCATTTCCTCTTGATGAGAGGAAGGGATCCTCCTGCGAGTTATTACCTGAAATAATACCATATGGTAAAATGTAAACAACATCTGCATATTCATGTAATAATTTCATCTGTTTAATTAGTTCCAGCAAAGCAGTTTACCCTCTGAGGCCCTTGCTGTCAGCTCCACGCTCATACATCCATGCCCTGCTGTCGAGCCTGACAGCCGTCTATTGTTCATTCACTGCTTCCACCTCGCCACTTAATGTAAGTGAATCTTCTGAGGGGTGGAAAGCCTGTCCCCATTGATCCAGATGTAAGGGCTGGGGGGAGAGAGAGTAAATATCTGTCAGCCTGGAATATGGATACTAACAGCAAACTTGACAGATCAGGTGGCTTTGTGGTTTTTTTGGGGAGGGAGCGGGGGCAAGTTGACTCTTAGTTTAAGTGCTGATCAGGACTGCAGGCTTGACTTTGTACAGTTGTTCAGCCTTTGCTCTCAGGACAAGGCTATGAGCTTCCAAATCAGGTGAATTCAGCAGTGGAATAGCAGCCCAGCTTTTACAGTCAGCTGTGTTTCGGTGCCAAAGTAATGACAGCATGCCTACTGGTGCAGCAAAACACAGGGCCCTAGAGGGCTGTATGGATTGGCCAAACAGGTTTTCGGAAATGCATGTCAACAAACACTGCTCAGGACAAACTGAGAATGTAAAAGCGTTAAGTCTGACTGGAAAGGTCCCTGGAATATATTTCTAGAGTCTCCTGGCTCATGTAAATAAATTATACTGTGGGTCACATGTAACAATAAGCTGTTCAACTCACCTTTGAAAGGAAACATTTACATTATGGGAATATAAACACTCCATGGTAATATTACACCTAAGTAGATGAAAGTACTGCAGTTCTATGTGGTAAAGTCAATATCATAATAAGGTAATAATAATAATACTTACTACTTATATGGCCTTTTACAGATTTGAGCAAACATTAACAGATTAGTCCTCAGAGCACCCCAAGGGAAATAGGTAAGTAAGAATTATTGCCTTGTTGTAAAAATAATCCGTATCTTATCACATGCCCATCACCATGGTATCTACACAAACAACCCATCTGGCAGACAGGATTCTTTCCTTTGCCTTGTGATGCACTGAGGTGAGATTGCAAGGTGTGAGCTCAGCTAGAGAGATGTATCTTATGCTTTGTTTTAATGATGATCATATCTATATTAGTAATATTATCCTTTTCAGAGGACTTGTGTCCAGTGGTCAGGAAGGACAGATGTCCCAGAGCATTCGGGATCTCTCCTCATGGAAATGGCCAGCCCCACTGTCACTGAACGGCCTGTCAGGGAAGGGAGATGTGTCTGACATATTCAGAGTCCAGATACTAAAAGCAGAGAAAAACTGCAGTGTGCCTGGATACGTATCACTGCACTGGAATAGTTTGTCCTTTTTGTCCTGTGCTCACAAGAGATTCTTCATGTGCATCTCGGATCTTTGGGTCCTTTTTACAGTGCAGTGAACACTTCTGGCATAAGATATAGTGGTAAGTAAGAGGTACTAATGTGTTCATCCGTATATTGAAAAAGGGGTGCTACTTGTTACCTGGAAGTGGTGAGAATAGGTCTTTCCTGCTTACAAAGGGAAAACTGGGAAGACTGGAAACCATCTGCATACTGCCAGCTGGAGTTCTTCAGGTTTCTCTCTTAGCAGTTTAGGACAGTGTTATAATTATTCTTTTAATGCTCTTAATCTGAACCATAAAATAGCAGTTCACAATAGGCAGAAAAACAGGCACCTAAAGGTGAATTACGTTGCCAAAGTCCCCATGACAAGATAACATCAGAAAAGGGTCATAAAACATCCCCCTTGCAGAATTATCCATCGGGATAATTCTAACTTTTGTATCATGTTACCTTTGTTGTGGGCACACAGTACCCTCCTTCAATGAAATTGTAGCTTCCTCCTTAAGACTATTTCATGCAGTCAAAGCAATAAAATGAAATAACCTTCAGATCACAGAACTTGAAAAATATTACCTTTACAAAGCTAATGAGTAACTCTTCTAATTGTTGGCTTGCACATATTTTTAGAATGTTTTCATACACACTGTGGTATAAAAATGAATCTCTGGAAGCTCTTAAAAAACTAATTTGTCATAAATTAAAACAGTAATTTAATAACAACAGTAAAATGACACTGAATTAGTAATGAACTTTGCAAAATAATATTGAATACAAGAAATAATTAATAATGCGTTCATGGCAGGTTCATCAGTCTAATAATGAGAGTTTCTTTTTGCCTGGAAAGAATGAATGCTTATTACCCATGAAATGGGTATGTTGTGCTTCCCCATCCCTATGAATCCACATCGATATGAAAAAAAATTTCAGGTTTGAGAAGTTCTTCTTGTCTTGGTGTCCATTTTATAAGGTTGTGTGCTGAAAAAGACAGGAATTATGAAATGGAAAGTGGATATAATATCAGTTTAATTTGGGTAGTGTTGACTAGCACTAAACTATTCACACTGTTTTAACTACCATTAGTCATGAGTTCATAAGAAATAATTTTATATGATGAGAAACAAAGTAATCTGAATTTGATTTTTAGACTTGCAGACTTCTGACATCCTATGTGACATTATTTCAGTCAACCATTCTGGACTATTTTTTCTCTGACCATAATGTTTTTTCTCTATCTCATTGTCACACTGAAATTATAACTATTCTAGGCAAGTCTATGAAGAAATAAAGCCCTGTACTGAATTTGAAATAATGATCTGTGAGTTATGTATCTCTTAATGTAAAGTACTAGGTAGTCCAGTCATTTATGGGTATTACCTATGATGTTATGAGTTAAATTACAGTGGGACTCTAACATTATGCTACATACCTCATAAATAGTTGTATTATTCCAGTACTAACCTAAAAATCTCTCAAGTCAGTCTAAATTATAGCACAGGTAGTTGTATATTCTTGCACATTTCAACAAAACTATGTTTCATTAATATTCTGGAAAGAAACCCTAAAACTAATGGATCTCATCCTCCTTTCTGCTCTTTTAAGAGCAATAAAATTGTTCTTTGCCATTTTTTTCTCCATTAAATAACTTATGTGAAGCAATTTCAGGGAGGCCTTAAAATGCTTTCTAAATTAGATGAAAGAAAAGTCCATAATTTTTTAAGTCTATAATTGTTACGGTGTTTTTATGCACAGATCCAAAATAGTTTCTAATGGACATTTTAGAGTAGGAAAGATGATGGTGTTTTAGTGAGGCAACATTGCTGACCATGGCAGGGTTAATTTATCAAAATAATTTTAAAAGTAGTCGCTTAAAGAGTGTAGCTTCACAAATTTTGTGTAGCCGGAAGTTTTTTTTAACAGGTTAATTGCAAAACTGAGTGCATCCAGAACACTTTTGGTATTTTTATTTTTAATAAGGAAGTTAAGTTATCTGGGTTATGTTCCCAAAACAGAAGCCTTAATGACCTTTATTCTATATTTCTTTTCATAGATTATTGCGATAAGGAAACCCTCGTGTCGCGACCCACTGGCGTCTGGCTAATCCGATGGTATTCGTCGCCGCATTGTCCGTGATCAATAACTAATTATCAAAGTGGCATTTCTTTTCAAGAGCTCCTTGTTAAAAAATGGCTTTTGGCTGAGAGTGGAGGAAAAAGGTCGCCACTTTGACATCGTTGCGAGTCTTTCAAAATCCAGTGGGCCGTCCGATTGAATTACTGTCCCAAACTAATTGATATAAATTTGAACAGAAGAATGCTTGTTACTACAGAATGTCATAATGATATCCTTGGCAAGAGCATGTCAGTGGGAAAAAAAGGAGAAAAGACCAGCACTAGTCACAAAGCATCTAGACAAGTTGCAGCACAAGACTATTAACAAAATTAACAGCAACAAAATTGTACACCAGTTCCTTCTTCCCAGCCAGTCTGATCAGACGTTGGAGAAAGAAAAGCATTAACATTTCCTTTTGAACCTCGTCCTTTCTTTGAAAACAGGCTTTAAAAATATCTACTGGAAATAATAATTGCAGTGTACAAGGGACTGAAACTTGATGATCAGTTGCAGAAGTCTCATTGACTCTACGGGGATCATGAGTGAGTATCCACTGGAATTCAGCTTTAGTCATAAGGCAGAATTTGGCACATAGTTTCCTTAGGAAAGGCTTTTAGGCAGCCTTAAAAACTGTGCCTTTGAAATATGGTAGCCTTCTCTAAAGAAAGTTGGGCTGTATGAGCCATATGCCAACTGGGAAAAATCCTCCAAACACTTAGGATACAGTAAGAGGAATCACAAAAAATGTGGTGAGAAGGGGAAAAAGATCTTGTAGTATTCATGCCTGAAATTTGATGTGTTGTCTTGCATGTCATTTGGAGATTGTCTGCTCATTGGAAAGCTTGGAAACCTGAATTTTCACTACAAGGCACTGGACTTGTGGAGGTTCTGGCTTTTTGGTTTTTTTTTCAGATCTCCCTGTCTTCTACTCCATGTCCTACATTCAGTCCCTGAGCTGGGAATTGCTAGGGAGTGCAGGAAAAGATTACCCTCTAAAGGGTATGGCGTGCTCTGGAGAAGGGCTGTTGTAGAAGCCTTTTTTGGGGGCATAGCTGGGGTTAACTCAGCTATGGCAGAAATTAATAAGCTGAATCTATTAGTTATCCAGTAATAAATGTTGCCAAGTAGTTGGCCAAAATGTGCCATTTTAGCCACATCCAGAGTAAGTCCTATGATTGCTGAGGAACAGAGGAGAGAAAGACATTTGTACCTAATTGGAAACAGTGGTTTGTGAGCTTTTTAATCCCTGATCTTGAAAGGCTCCAGCTGGGGTCTAGTAATGAATATCTTTCCTGCAAACTTACTGTTCTTCATTTCCTAATGATAAAGCAAAGGTGACTAATGAATTGACACAGGGACTTTCATCTCTGCAGTAGATTTGGAGATTCCAATCAGACTGTATCAATCAGCAAGTTGAAGTTTTTAGTATGTGATGCCTTGTCTGTAGTAGTGTGAAACAAGTAGTCTCTGTGCAAGCCTTATGGACAAACCCCAGCACCACCTCTGTGCAGTATTTTTGGCACAGCTTCAGCATAGGGACTCAGGAACAAATTCACTGGAGAGACCAAACAAATTTTGCTGGTGGCAGTCTCCTTGTTAGGAGTGCCTTGTGGCAGGTAACCATTTTGAAAACAGGTCAGTGATAGGTAAGTTAGATTTCATAGAAGTCTGACAGATTGTTGCTTGTGACAGATTTATTGTTTGGATATGACGACCATCAAGCCACATTTTCCTAGTTTGTCAAGCCACAGAACAAAGTGGGAAACCACAGGGGTCTGAAGATTCAGCTTCACGGTGGTTCTGGTTGCAAAGGGGGAAATCTTTTCCTAACAAAGGATCTAAGGTAGTGAAGTTCACCACGTTCAGTTCCCACTCTGCCTTCCATATATGACTTTATTACTGTCCTCTTATGCTGGGGGCAGGAAATGCCTTGTGATGGCAAATAGCTGAGCCATCTCTGACAGACTTACATCATCACAGAGTCGCTAGGGAACCGTCTTCTTGTCTTCCATGGCTGCTTTAAAGACACTTTGTGAGGCTTTCTTCTTTAGCAGACCAGAGATTTCAGACTGAAAGCCTGTCGGGCGGGTCAACCAGTGTCTAGGTCAACCAGTCTTGCCCCTTAATTATTCCCTCTGGCATCACATTCACAGGGTGATGGAAGTAGAGGCTAAATATAGGCCCTCTATATATAGGCTCTCTATATACTTGGAATATATGAAGCCACGTCTGTACTGTTATTATTGGAATATACGTTTGCATCATTGCATAATCCAGAGGAGGAGTTGTAATGTGTGTAATAAAACTGAAAAAAGACTCCTACATATTTGTCAACTGGTTTCAGGTCCAACTGAAATTGTGACACTATCAGGGCTGGCTTATGATGTCATTAAGCATTTTAGAATTTATAACAATATAAATATCTAACAGGTAAGAGTAATTGCTCTGAAAGAATACAATTTCTGAGACTGATTTGATGTTGAATGGCTTCCTTACAAAAATTAGTGTCATACAAAAATCAATGTAGTCCCTACTGAACAGATTTAAAATTTGTTAGTTGATCTAAAAATCTGCTTCTAAATGAGAAATCATTATTCATTGGGGTATTTTTAATATAGTTAGACGTAGATCAGCATGTAGCCAAAAGTTAATATTTTGGAGAAAAGATAAACATCCAAATAGAATTTACAGATGCTAATTTGTAAATAACAATGAAAATGGGTTAGTTATATAGTTTTGTAGAGATTGCATTGTATTATTGCAGCGAAATGTAAATGCTGGTTCATGCATCTGGGAACAGGAATGTAAATTACATTTATTAGCTTGGAGAAAGGAGAACTGGGAGAAAAGACTAATACTCATGATAGTTGTAATTGAACAGAAGAATTAGTACAGGAGGTTCTTGGATGTACAAGAAAGGCACCATTGAAAAAGAGTTAAGTCGCTTAAAAACCAAAACACAACAAAGGCATTTAAGAGAATTCTGAGGAGAGAGACAGGAATTATTTGAGATATTGAAAATACATTTCCTATTGGGAAACTTGGAGAGTTTACTTAGTCTGCCCTATGGAAGCCTAGAAGCTTGTTCACTCCTGGTCTGCAAGACATTTCTAATAGCTGACAGAAAGGTTTTCCTGTAGCTTAAATCCTAAGATGATTAGAGCTATTAGAAGTTAAAAGAGAAAAGTTCAAATTTGAAATAAGGCAATACTTTCAATTTTTGATTGCTTACTGCAACACTATTAAGAGAAATGTGACAAAATATTCATGAACCATTTGAAATTTCCTTTATCCCTGATTCCATTCTCTCTTACTAGTCACTGGTAATGTCTTAGGTAGTTGACTGACATTCTTTATTAATTTCGTAAGCTCTTCTACAAAAGTAAATAGGTACCTGAATTTTAATTATGTAGTAAAATGTGTAATTTTGAATCCAGCTAATTGTCCCAAAGTACTTAGTTTATAAATAGCTCTGAATATCTCACACTTACTGCTTCCATTTACCACTTACTTCCTCTGTTTCTCTTCTTGCTGTTTCGAGCACAGCACCAGAGCAAGGGGCCATATGTAGCTAGATCAAAGCAGGAGCCTGCCCAGAAAGGAGTTGTGACTCATGAATCATAACTAATCCCTTGATTACCCTCAGATGGCACATTTTATTTCCTTTCTTGTATCTGGCCAGCTGTTGCTCCTACTGCTGATCCTGCTGGTATTTTACTGCTTTTATTGGCACTGCTGATGTCTTTTGGTAGTCATGTAGGAACTGAAACAGGGATCCAGGAGAGTAGTTGTGCTCCACCCAGAGCGTTGATGGCTGAGTAGCTGCGGTGGAATTGGCAGGAATGTTTCCTTTCTTCCTCTCCACAACTCTTAAATAGGCCTTGAAGTTTTATTGTGGCAGTTATCTCTTTAATATCTGAACAGCTCCCAGGTTAACTGAGTGATGAGCGGGAATCTTATGGATGCTGGATGTTGGCTCCTGCTTAGGAGTCTGTGCTGGTGAAGGTAGAGAAACAGAGCTCAGCAGCCGAAATCTTCAGCAGCATTATGGTAGGAAAGACTTCTGAGTACTTCCAAATTCATGTTAACGTTGGTTTAAAATTATTTACAAACAATTAATTTGTCTGTGTACATGTATACTATCTATTTAAAGCTGTAATTTCCCTTTCTTTTCCAGTCCATAGCTGTGGTATCATGAGTAGTAAACCTGGCTTAAATTTATTATTTTCAATTTTAATACAGTGTTTGAAGAAAAATTGGCAACAAAACAGGCCCAGAAAAATAGTTTAAAGTAGTTATATATGCAAACAGCCACCCAGCTATAGCTGGCTTAATCTGAAAATCTGTGAGGAAAAATAACTATAGAAGTTGCTAATATTATGCACTCAAAAAAAGAATGGAGCTAGAACTAGCCATCTTTGTAAAACATGGAACAACAATCTTGCAGATATTTCTGTACTACACACAGACACATACAGCTAAGTTGGTATTCCATTTTTTTTTATCAAGCAGCAAACCAGCTAAGAAAGCCCAGCACTTCATTTATGGACATTATTGATCTAAAACTTGTTTTTCCACCTAAGCCAAAGTGACAAAAACTTCTCTAAAGTGAAACAAGTTCAAGCACTCTCAGCCTGTTTCCCATTAAACATCACAAGAACATTGCAATTTGACATTTATCTGGCAGCCTTAAATGTGAAAGACCAGTGTAGCTGGTACACAGAGAATGGAAAGGCCTCTTTGGCATCACTAGGGATGCTTTTACCAGGTTAGGGTCAGGTGGGATGACAGCAGAGTGGAAGGAGGTAGTCTCACTTCACTGCAGACTTGAACTATATTTGACCTCCAGGGTACCAGTGACTTAGTTGGAAATTGCAAGAACGCTGAGCTGCCCTTTATAGAATTATAATTCCTTGCCATTCAAACAAAAAAAAAAGCTAATTAAGTATCCCTTATCTGATGTAACCCTCATCCAAACAGAACCAGGGATCATCCTGTTGCCATTCTTAGAAAATGTAGCTGTCGGAAACAATGGTGTTGGTGGCTGCTATTTGAATGTAGACCTTAAAGAATCATGATTCCAAACTTCTTGGTGCCCTTTCCCTATCAATCAAAAAGAATCGTATGAAATAATTATTAGGCTACATAATTATTTTACAAAATAGAAGGTGTTTTTACTGCACATTTCCATTTTAGTACCAGTCATTACTTCCCTGAATACTAATAACAGCGTTAAGCATTAATAGCATGTTTTAAGGTAAAGGGTCAATAGTCTAAGACCTATGAAAGAACTCTGAGCATTTGCAATGTAAAAGAAACCTTTCACGGAAAAGTGTTAAATAATAAATGTATTTCTGGAGGAAATGTTATATTGTGCTCCATTTGGAGAGAAATGACAATTTATAGGACATCACTCAGCTGCCTCTGTATAAAATATCTTTAATAATGCTGTGGCTTCACACTTAATACAGAAGTTCACAGAAAGCTTACAGCTCTTTGAAGAGGTCAGTATTATACTCAGTGAGGGGAAACTGAGGCACGTGATGACTCAGTGCACCAGTAAAAGCACAGGGATCTGAACTGGTGACTCAGTCCTCTGAGTGCAAGAAAATGGTGCCTTTTCTGTATTTCCAACTAGTAAGCCATCTTCTAATAGTTCTTTTAAAAGTATAATACGCACACAGGGGATGGTGAACTTATTCAGGAAAGGTAAAGGTACTTGAAACTTTTTTTTTCAAGCTGGTTTAAGCTGCACAATTTGAGGAGTGTGGAGGGAAGAGTTAGAAATACTTGGTATCGATTTGAATTTCTTTGTTATGCCTTCATATGTGTATTGACAGACAACCAGAGGAACTGAAGCCTCAAGAAAGGGGCAACTCAAGTCCAAAATCTCCTTGCCCTATTGAAGTCAGTGAACAGACTCTTCATCAAGCAATCATCTCCTTTCTGTGGCATTATAAGCACCCCAGTTTCTTCCTTTTCAGGTTTACTCTGGTTGTTTTAAAGGAATAAATGGGGTGTGAATATTTAAGATCCCAATAAGCTATCATTTTTCTTCATTAACTTTTTCTCTTCGTGTCCTGCAGGTATTCCCCTCTGAGAAGATGGAAATACCTGTGGCCACTTTGGATTCATAATCCTGAAGCATTTTTTAAAACTAAATATCCAAGCCCTATCTTACAAACACTAGTAAGGATTCACTCATATGAGCAGACTGAAGGAAGAACCACAACTTCTTATTTGTTATTATTAATATTATTATTAATATTATTCTTATTTACGGATCTGTGAATAGTGGCTGAGGAAATGGGTACTGTGAGTTCAGTGGTAGGGGATCCAGATGAGCCAGAGAGGTAATAATGAGGTGGTTGTCATGTGGATGCCCAATACTGAGAACGCTCCCTTCAAAAAGGGAAAATATCTTAAGCTTAGATTTTCACTTGAAAAAATGATTATTTATTTAATGAAAGCTCTATGTAAAGCATGTCCTATCTGAATCTCAAATCTGTGCCCAAATCTGAGTTTCCCAAGTTTCTATGTCTTTTTAATGCCTAACCAATCAAAACATACCTTTGCAGAACACATGAAACCAATGAATACTCCTCCAGCGGAGCAAATTCTTTTCCCAGCAGCCACAATGAATAAACAAGTTTCAAGTGACATCGAGACTACTTGGGATTCTTTCTGATTCAGGTTAGTCCTACAGGTCTGCTCATGTTTTCCTTGAGCTCCCACGTGAGTCAAGTATTACCTGCCACCAGTTGTCAGCAGATTGCCAAAAGTTACTCTCTCCCATTGTTGAATGGAGTTGAGTTGCTTTCTGGGAAGAAGCTCCAACAGCAAATATGACACAGAGTCTGAGTGGAAGGTTGTGTCTCTCAAAGTTGTCCTGTGTTCCACTGCCATGGAGTTTTTTGGTGCATCCATAACCAGAACTTATGAAACAGTGCTAGTAAGATAATAGAGCTTGTGCCTGTTCTTCTGGTCATTAACAACAATTATTTTATAATGCTATAGAATACATATCTGACTGTTAAAGAGTTAAAGAAAAAAATGAATCCTGTAAAAAATCAGGCCATCGTATAATGCCTCCTCATTGCTATAATGATATCAGTTGCAACAAGTCCAATGGCTGACCTCATTACAAGGGTTTAATTGCATTGTTACACAGTTTCACTTCTTCTCTCTGGCCTCTTTCTCTTTATGACAGCTTTAGAAAGGAATTTCAGCTTGAGGTCAAAGGAAATTAATTACTGCTTTCTTAATCTGTGCTCATCTACATTTAGAAAACTTGGGGCTTTTCACTAACATATTTGTGTCTCATTTCTGTGTAGACCCAAAGTTATAAGACTCTTGTCCTTTGTCAAAGTGCATAAATAGCCTTTTTCATATCTGAGGCCAGATTTTTTTCATGTCATTTACAGTTGTGCACATATGGACTGATGCCAGTGGAACCAATGGAATGTCTCTGGATATACATTCACTGTAACTGAGGTAAGGCACTTGCAATGTATCTTTAATTCAGATTAAAGATTTATGGCAGATGCCAGGTGTTAAAAAACCCAGTAACATCAAAACCAACCCAAGAAGAAAGGAAAATCCAACCAAATAAGAAGTTCACACTTAGGATAAAAGTCAGAAAGATGATCTCCAAAATGAAGTAGATACTTATGTAGAGAGAAAGATGAAAAAATATGTCTCTTTGACAACAGATTTTGCCTGCTACCTACCTCGTATTTTCACTAAATACATCATTGCTTAGTTAAGGAGTATCCAGCTTATGTTTCAAAGCACTTGCAATCCAGATAACACAGTGTTGGCATCAGAACAGTGAGGAAGGTGACAGAGACACCATAACAATAATTCTTGGTTGGAAGGCAAAAGCATGTGCAAAACGTGCTTAAATGCTTTTATAGCATGAAATATAAAATGAAAACTCATAAATTAGGGCCCCAGTCCTAGTCATTAGGTCTTTTGAATTGATCCCTGCCTCTTCCACGAATGCTGACTGGTTTCAAGAAGAACCAGACTTCTCCCAAAGAAGAAAACAACGTTGTTAGTTTGCTTCTTGAGGGAAAAAGTTTGGAAGGGAAATTACAATGAGACATGTCTCTGGGATGACTTGACAAATTAATGTGAGAGGATATGCCATGCACCAAGGAAAATCTGAACAAGTATTACCACCATGCAACCATGATCTTGTAGTTTATAAGAAATTGTTATGTGCTAGGCATGTGTAAAACTACAATACAAGAAACACAGTTTTCTGCAGAAAATATACATGTATTTCTTACATGTACTTTGTGATTCTGATTTATAGCCATGGAAACGTTGACAGAGATGAAAAATTGCTAAGTTTTGAGCCCTCTGACATAGAACATTTAGTTTCACAAATCTATTCACTATCCTTTGATCAGCTTTGCCACCCACTGAAATTCCTGCTACCAGAACTGTGTGCTTTTTAGTTTATTAGTTGCTGCTTCAATCTCCCCTTTCAAGCAGTAAGATTTGCAATAACAAAACTGCAGCTGCAAAGCAAAGTCAGTTTGTTGAATTTTACCCTTCATCTATCTTGACTGAAATTCAACTCAGTTATAAACATCTGCAGGAGGAGCAAGGTTTCATGTAAGTCACTGGTAAGCTCTTAACATGGGACCTGCTTGACATAGGGTGAGGTTCATTCTCATGATTGCCCAGTTTTTAAAACAGCCTTTGTAAACTTTGTAGTGTTGCCAGAAAGCTTTATGGGGTGGAAGTTGAAAATTTCAAGCCAACCATCCGCAGCCACATGTATGATTGTGTTATCCTCAATGCTGGTTGGAGCAGTGTGACAGGAGCCAGGACGTGTTGGGAAACAGGGTGAGTTTGAACCTACCCATAGTACTCTAGACCTCCCTCCAGGCCTACACCTTATTTCAGATTTTTCTGTAATAGTTGTGCTTCTAAGGCAAGCTTGGACTTAAGCATGAGTTTTGACCTAAACAGAAGAAACAATCAGTGTATAGATGTAAAGTTCACCAAGACCAAGTAGCTATGCTGAAAAGAGGTCCTGAACAAGCTTAAATTCTCTACAGTCATTAAGAGGTGTAATACTACAGGTGGAATGTGTTTGAACTAAACTGAGTACCTTGGATAACAATAGTAGTGAAGTAACAGTAACTTCAGTATGCAGTAGCTACTCAGGTGAACAGTCAAGGTTTCATGGGCTTGTACTCAGTCTTTCGTAAAGTATCCATTGAGAGTACGCTGGTGTTGATACTCCAGGAACTTAGATCAAAGGTAGCTCTAATCATGCTCTAATCATATTTTTAATTTTTTAAGAGACCTCCCCTTGGAGGGCCTGGACCAAGTCACTGTGTAGTGGTGTTATCTGAACTATTTCACTCATTGGCACCGGAGTTTAGTGCATTAATCGTCTAAGAACAGTCACAGAACTATTTAGATTGGAAATGACCTTCAAGATAACCAAGTCCAGCTGTTGACCCAACACTTCCAAGTCCACTACATCTACATGTCAACTGGGACCTCCTCAGTTAGCCAGGACTGCTGGTAAATGATGGAAAGTGGCTCGGTGAGCGCTTCCACCAGCTTCCTGGTACCCTTGGGTGGATCCCATCCAGACTCACAGACCTGTGTGTCCCAGTGGTGTAGCAGGTGACTGATCATTTCTCCTTGGATTACAGGGGGCTCATTCTACTCCCTGTCCCAGTCATCCAGCTCAAGGCACTGGGTACACAGAGAACATCTGATCTTACTCTTAAAAGACTAAGGCAAAGAAGTCATAAAGTACCTCAGTCTTCTCCTAATCCTTTGTTGCTACGTTTTTCCCCTGCATCTGCTAAAGGATGAAGATTCTCTTTAGCCCTCTTTTTGTTGCCAGTGTATTTATAGAAGTATTTTTAAATTGTCTTTTACAGCAATAGTGAGACTAAGTTCTCACTGGGCTTTGGTCCTTCTAATTTTCCCTCTGTAAAACCTCACGACATCCTTGAATGTCACATCAAGGTGTGAACGGATTAAGTTGAAAGGCCCAGTTAACACAGACATGGCACTGGTGACAGAATTAAGTGCTAATGATATATAACAAAATACTATTACATGAAATAGGATCTTTTTCATCCAGCTTTTTGATTCTGTCTGATAGAACTAGTAGAACAAAATGAAAAACTATTCATCAATCAGAAGTCTGTCTGGGTCAGGCACTTTGGTCAAGCAATGTGAGTAATTCCACCTACCTGCACTATAATTTATTGCAAAATTAATGCCATAACATGCTAAGCCATTGTTTGATAAAGGTAATTCTTAACCTCAGGAAAAAAAGCAAAATTTGTTTCTGTCTTTCTCTCTCTCTTTTTTTTTTTTCCCATCCTGACAAGATGAAACCATTATACTAAGGGGGGATTTCATGATGGTTCACTTCTAATGCTTGAAAAAAGGACCTTGAGCAGGGTTTGATTGACTTTCTAAATCACTGACTAAGCCAAGTTACACTAAAAAAGGGGACAAAAAATCACAAGGTATTAATTTTTTTTAAAGTTTACCTGCTTCATTACAACAGAATGAAATCAAGTCTTAGTGGGAAGAATAAGTTTTAATATATGTTACTTTCTATTAGAGTTTTCAGGACAGCTTATTCTTAACCAGACTAAAATACAATAATTCACCAATTCAAAGTCTTAATTGCACTGTTATGAGGTAGGGAGACTAATGGCATATTCTTATTTTTAAAATGTGTAAAATTATAGTTTGTTATAAAACAGGTCACTTATGTCTGGTATTTGATTGGCCTTGATTGCTTCAGAAAATTAAATTGTTACATTAGCTGTGAAGTAATTTGTAGTTTCTAAAGGTGTTCTAAGGTTTTCATTAAGTATCATACAGACATACAGGAGGGACCAGAAACTGAGTGGAAATTTAAAAATGACTCAGCGTGTCCAGAATTCATAGCAGACCTTCACAACCCTCTCTTGTGAACCTTATTATATCCATTTCTCAGTGGGAGAAGCCGAGCTGCACAGAAAGGGTCTTTCCTTTCCTAGAGACTCGTAGATATTCTTCCAGCTGCACCTTTTATTTATTCCTTCCAACATGCTGTTCTGGTGCTTGGTGTGTTCTGCCATGCAATGTGAAGAGGAGCAAAATCTTGTAAAACTCTAGGGAGCGAGAAAGGAAAGAGCATCTCTCACCTATCCGTTGCTCTCTCTCTTGGTGTGCCTCATGAATAGTTTGAAAGATGTTGAAACAGATGAGATTATTTACCTGCTCTCTATTCCACCACTTCATTCCTCCATCTCTTTTTCATAGACACAGCGAAACCGATACAGCAGTTGAAGGTGAGATAACAGGAGGAGGTAGAGTTGTTTGTTGCAGAGGATTTACCCATGTTGTGTTACTGTTTCTTTGGGATTGCCTGAATGAGAATAGATTTAGGAGATAGGAGTCTCTGACTGGAATGAATCTGAATAGGAAGCAAAAAAACAAGGAGCAAGTGCTGTAACTGCAAAGCAGCTCCAGATGTGTTGCTGCACATCGAGGATTTCAGATTTTTTTCCCTTATGGGTCTATTTACTCTGTAAGGTATTCAGACACTATGGTAAAATAGAACTCTTATTTTGGTTTTCTCATTTATGTAAACTGATTTTAGGAGAAAAAGAGGGACACTGCAGACCAGGAGCTGTAATTGCCAGATGACTTTCCAGGATAAAAGGCAAAAAAATGGATGATAACATGAAACTAATCAACTAGAAAATAATTTGTGATAGTTTTGCATTTCAATGCAGGTGAGGCAACCATACACAGTAGTGATGTGGTTTATGTCTAGAACAATATCTTAATAAAAAAATATAAAATGGAAAAAATATTGCAAGGATATTGTCATTGACAAGTCTTTCTTTCTAGTATTGTTTCTCTTGAAACTTACATTCAGGGGTTGCAGACTGTAATATCTGGTGACCTGCATAAACTTGTATAGCAGCTACTGTAGTGGTGTGATTCTATTATCTAGACTTCACATCTTACCTGCTGGGAACTTCCAAGAAATGATGTTATAGTACAAGTAATCCAGTTTTTCTTTTTGTTGTGGCTTTCCCATAAATGTGATTGTGGAGATCTTCAAGCGCACAATCTCCACCTGTGCGTGTGTATACGTGGAATTGCACCTGAAATTGGGTACCTGCAAACACCTGCAGAACTAAGAATAGTCTTCATTTTATCTAACTAAGCCTTTATATCATCTAACACCCACATGCTGACCACCCTAAAAGTTTGCTGCCACAAAGCTCATCTGGAACTGTTTAAGAAGACACGAGCACAAGAATTTGATTTGCATCCCTGAACTTTGCAGAGTCCGAACAGAACTTTCAGCAACTGTATCTTAATAACTTTGTATGGTTAATACATTTCAGTGATTTAAAGGGCATGAGTGACACTCACCAGTTTTTGTCAGTGCAGTATCATGGCACAGATCTTGCTGGTTTTTGTTGGTGGAGTATCCT